TAAAGCTATTTCTGAAGGATGGCTTGATGGCTCATTTATAAAATCCTCTGGAGAGGGTGGAGAATTACAGGACAACAAAGAAAAAGTTAGGCGGTATAAAGAGGAGGTAGTGACTATAATTCACGAGTATTTTCTCTCAGATGACATTCCGGAACTCATCCACAGTCTTGAAGATTTAGGGGCACACGAGTTTAACTCAATTTTCTTGAAGAAGCTGATCACCCTTGCAATGGACAGGAAGAACAGAGAGAAAGAGATGGCATCTATTTTGCTTTCTGCCCTTCACATTGAGATCTTCTCAACCGAAGACATTGTAAATGGATTTGTCATGCTCTTGGAATCTGCAGAAGATACAGCACTGGACATTCTAGATGCTTCAAATGAGCTTGCCCTATTTCTGGCTAGAGCTGTGATTGATGATGTCTTGGCTCCACTGAATCTTGAAGAGATAGGTAGCAGGTTACCACCAAATTGCAGTGGTAGTGAGACTGTGCATATGGCTAGATCATTAATTGCTGCTCGTCATGCTGGAGAGAGGATCCTGAGATGCTGGGGAGGTGGAACAGGGTGGGCTGTGGAGGATGCGAAGGACAAGATAATGAAGCTGTTGGAGGAGTATGAAAGTGGGGGCGTTGTGGCTGAAGCTTGTCAATGCATTCGTGATCTTGGAATGCCTTTCTTCAACCATGAGGTGGTGAAGAAGGCATTAGTGATGGCCATGGAGAAGAAGAATGATCAGATGTTGGATCTGCTGCAGGAGTGCTTTAGTGAGGGGCTCATTACGATCAATCAGATGACAAAAGGCTTCACCAGGGTGAAGGATGGGCTTGATGATCTGGCTCTTGACATCCCAAATGCAAAGGAGAAATTCAATTTCTACATGGAGTATGCCCAGAAGAAAGGGTGGCTTTTGCCATCCTTCGGGTCATCTGCAGCAGCAGATGCTCTGTCGATTTCAGTCCCAGCTTCTTGAGAAGGACTTGCGTTTCTATTTGTCTCTCTGATGTATGTTGTTGCCCCATTACCTCTCTGTTACTGTTAATTGCCTTGCAGTGCTCCAAAGGTGGATAGATAGATATGGGTTGTTTAGTTTTCTTCTGATGTTTTCTTATCCTCTCTTTGAATGGTTATCTGATGGAGATTCCTCTGATCCCAGCCAATGTACAAAGTTGGTCCTTTTTTGTTGTTGACAGTTTTAGGGTCATGTCACATCAAGAATCATTTTAGTTATAGATCAGTCTGATGTGATGCTCTGCTATTGGGGGCAATGTTATGCTCTTCATTCTGAGTATTGTGATTCTTCATGCTTTTTATTTTCTCTCTCTCTCTTGGGATCTATTTCACTAAGGTTTTAGGTTAGTAAAATGACGCATAATTTTACATGCCTTGTGGAGCCATGCAGCAAATTGGAAAATCAGACCGTGTTGTCTTGTTAGGGATTCGACAATTCAAGATTAATTAGGTTGAGCAAGGAAATGGCTATTCAGGCAGGGGAGGTGCTCTTATTTGCCATTGGTAAAAAACTGGTTACAGCCTTTCAGTAATTTGGCTAATTGGTTGAGGAGTCCTTATGGTTTCAAATTGGAGTTTGGTGTGAACTCAAGAGATTGTAAACATATTTTTAAATAATAGAAATTGACATTACAAAACATTATGTAAAATTAATAATATTCTAAATTTTATTACAGTTAATACATTTAAAGTGTATAACGTTTTATGTGGAATTAATTTTCATTATTTCCGGTAGATTTATATATCTTCTAAGTAAACTTAGGTTAAAATATATAATTTTTTTTTTTGCAACAATAACATTTTTTAAAATCTTGAATTTATATTAATAACTTTGATAATGTTTTTTTCCCCTTAAATTACATATGTATTTTAACTAATTAAAATTTATTGATAAATTTTATTTGGTCTACCGTAAATACATTTTGTTATTTTTAAAAATATCTTGTGTTCCTAACTAAATTTGTTTTTCTAATTTAAAAAATAAAAACATATCTAAAAAACTCGTCCTTTCTACAGAGTAATGATTACAATTAGATTATTCTTTTTTTCGTGCATTTTCTTTAAAGTGTAATATTATTGAGGGCAAGTTACTAAATTAGTATTTAAAATTTAATATTTATTATAATTTAATTTATAATATTTTTGTTCACAATTTTTTACCTGATATTTTTTATTCTTTTCAAAAGTATATATTTTTTTTTAACAACAAAAAAATTAAAGTAATTAAGTTATATTTAAATAATTAAAGAACATATCAAAAAATAACTTTTACTAAATAAATAAATTAATAACAATTTATTATTAATAAGTATTTATTAATTTGATCAATTATTCTTTTAATTTATTTTTATTAAAAAATTATATATTTAAAATAAATAAATAAATAATATAACAGATCAAATTATAAAAAATATTAAATATTAAATTATAATAATTATTAAATTTTAAAAATTAATTTAATAATTTACTCTATTATTAATTATATATACTTTATAAATTGCACGTAATTATTAAAATTTATAAATTTTTGTTAAAAACAGCTATTCTTTCCTATTAAATTTTTTTTTAGCAAACAGAACCTTTACATGGTCTCCCGATTATAATTACCTAAAGAACCATATTCGCATATACAAAGCACCTAATAAACAAAAAAGAGTCTTTAAATTGTCGGGGCCGTCTCCCTCACCGTCTTCTTCTTTGGACTCTAAGAAACTTGATTCAACCATGGAACCCCAAGAAGTAGTTTCTATAAAACCCGAACCCGCCGCCGCTGAGACCTCCATTGACGATGCCACTAGGTCTGTTCAGGCCCCCAAGGTCGTCGTTTTAGCTGACCTCAACGTCAATCCTCCTGAAACCGACGACCACGATTCCGTCCACCTCTCAGCTCCTGAGCTCACCCGGTCCAATTCCAAGTGCTTACTCAAACTTCTCTCACTGTTCAAAAATTTCCTTTGAGATATCTTTTTCCGTTGGCTGCAAATTCCTAAATTATGGTGTTTTCTTTTCCTAATTTTCTCAGCAGCCATTTGCTAGTGAATCTTGAAAGCTTCTTCAATTTACTGTATAAAATCGTAGATAGTTATGAGATTGTTGTGAATTCAATTTCAAATACAAGTTAAATGGTTTTTGGTCAAGCTTTTTCAATTATCTTTATAAAACAGTAGATAGTTCGATTAGATTGTCTTGTTATATAATACGGTTTAGTTTCAGATACAAATAATATGTGAACTTCTTGTTTGTTTATACCAAGGATGCAAGTGAAACTTTGTATATGCTCGTGATGATTGATTTGCTCTTTTTTATCGTTACAACACGTCCAGTTATAGTCTATTTGGATTTTCGCTAATTTAAATTCTAAAGCGACCACTTCGAAAGCAGAACTGAAAGTTTCATGCTGACTGCTGAATTTTGTGATTTGCTTGATTATCTTAGCAACCTTGTGTTTTACTGTCCTTATTTTACTGGATGTTTTAGTGAAAGGTGTCGCTGGTATTGTAGGTTGACTGGTGAGGATAGTAGTCAAGATAAAAGTAATGTAATATCCAAAGAGATTGATGCAGCTGAAGGAGACAGCAAAAAGCTACACAAAGTGGGGAAGTTCCGTTCCAGAATTAATAAGGTAGACACCTCTATTGAGTATGGAGTTGATGTTGATGGTGATCAACCTGGTCAAGGGGTTTCCTCATCTCGGGAGGAAAAAGTTAGCAGCCTGAAAACAGTAAGGTCCTCTGTTTCAATATTTTGTGTTACATGTCTTACAATCTTAAAAGCAAAAATGGGCTTAATATTGGGTGCACTTGGACACTACCAAGTATGGCTTTAATCAATTAAGAACTTTATCCCTGCTTAAACTTACTACCAGAAAAAATGGAGAGACATAGTTTTTCCTTTCTGTCAATATGGAAAAATGCTCTAAATTATAATGTGACATGTTGTTGCTCTGGATCATTGTCATGGGAGACTATGCTCACTTAGTGTGTGTGTTTATTTCAAAAAAGAAAAAAGGGTGTGTCTGTGTGTGTGTGGTAGTTGAGGTGGGTGTGTGATATTCATTTAGTGGCTGTTTATTTGATGCTTATTTAATTTGTATGTCTATATGTTTTTTGATTGAAAAACAAATTATTGCTCACAAGTACCAAAAAAAATAGGAAAAGTATTAATAGGAAGGCATGGAGGGCTACCGTCCATATAAAAACTGTATTACTTACTTCCAAGTAAAACATATATGAAATCAGATATAACAAGCTTTCCATGAAAGGTGAGCATGCTCCATGAACCAAGGTTTAGTGAACAAAATCAGGTATTTCTACAGTTGTAGCTCCACCCCTCAAGAACTAAGTTTCCTCTCTTTCTATTTAGTTCAAAATATGGAGGAACAAGGGTCATAACCCTGTTTCTATCTTAAGGTCTTGAGAGGTCTCCCCAGCTCTGATCTCATCCAGGATGGAGCCAGCTACAGCTTACTGCCCACTTCAGCCCCATTAGACGGAGAGTGAGTCTCACAAATGTCTGAGTGTTGGATATTAGCGGGGAGCTGTCCTGGCTTTACACTTAATTGGCATCTGAGTTCTTTTCATTCTTTTCTTATCAAACTTTTCTTCCTTTCATAAGATTGCTAATTTTGAGAATATGTTCCCAGCCTGCTTTCAACACAAAATGCCCCACCTTAGGTGGAGTTCTACTCTTATAAATATCATCCAAGGGAAAGTAGCAGTTTCTTTTACTCTATGGAGTAACAGCAAAGACCTATAGTAGCTTTGATATAAAATTTGGTCTTTTCCTTTCAGATTCTAAATTTTTCCGTCCTCAATCACAGGTAAATATGCTATTTTAGTCTTTCTTTAGGGTTTTTTTTAAATGTCTTTTTCCACCGGTGAACTGAAACAGGAAAGTAAATCTGCCAGCTTCTCTGCAGTACCTTGTAGTTTCCTTCATTTTCAATTCTAGCCTAAACTTGATTTCTCATAGGACAGGTGCAGATATGGTGGTGAGATATTTCATTAACATATTCCATCTAAATTGGAGGTGGACTCTGTTATTTCAGTTGTGGCCTTTGACGTTTCTGTTTCTATAATGAGAGGATATTCTTTTGTACAAAAACACTTCAGGGTGATTACTTCACTGATTAATTCTTCATCTTACTGTGGAAAATGTATCATGATATCTGTCTGTCTTTTGCTATTAGGAATTGTCTTTCAGTTTCTTTCTATGATTTATGATGATATGCATCAGATATTTGGCCTATTTGTTTTCTTCTGGATTACATCAATAAGTACATTGCTTTTGTCAATATTTGCATTAGAAAAGAGCGTACAAATCATATTGAAAAGGACATACTCAAACATCCCTTTGTTATTACAAAACATTAACATAAGAAATGTCTGCTTGCAGGGTTTGGTACATGTTGCAAGGAAGATGCCCAAAAATGGTCATGCACATTTTATCCTTGGCCTAATGTACCAAAGATTGGGTCAGCCTCAAAAGGTAGCTTTTGAAACTGTAGAATTATGTGCATGGATTAATCTGCTTGCCTCACCAACATTATTTAGCTATGGAAATACTATAGGCAATTTCGGCATATGAGAAGGCAGTGGAGATCTTGTTACGCTGTGAGGCAGATATTGCTCGGCCTGACTTGCTTTCACTAGTCCAGATCCACCATGCACAGGTGCAGTACTTTATGAGGGATAGAGTGAGCATTTCTAATGGTGACTAATCTTGATATTGTTTATCATTCTGCAGTGTCTTCTTTTGGAAGGAATAGGGGATACTGGTTCAGATAGAGAGCTTGAACCGGAAGAGCTTGAGGAAATTCTTTCTAAAATGAAGGATTCAATGCAATCAGATATTAGACAAGCAGTTGTATGGAACACCCTAGGCTCAATACTTCTTAAAACTGGTCGTCTGCAGGTGCAACTACATTGCTATTATTCTTGCTTGAATAACCATTTTTGTCATTTTCACTCATTATGTGGTGTCGCTTTATCCTTGTCTATAGAGCGCTATATCAGTTTTGTCATCTTTGTTGACAATTGTTCCTGATAATTATGATTGTCTTGGAAACCTTGGAATGGCGTACCTTCAGAGGTTAGTATTTCTTTTTCTTTTTACGTTTAAAATAGATTGTGAAATGTGCTATGCTTTTTGTTTTGCACTTATGTTTGTGCATATCGTTTCTGTTGAAATTTAACCGCAGATGTAGCGTAGGAAGTGGGCACAGAATGGTGAAGTTGGAAGTAAACAGAAAAGTTATGTGGTGCTATATAAATGCTATAATTGGATGTTAGAAGTGGAAAGTCTAGAATGTGCAGGAAAAGAAGACCATAAAATGACAAAAGAATATATTGTAATCTGAAAATGAGAGTATATTACATCTGATAATCACATTTAGCTGATTTTTATCACACTATTAATGCTACCAGGAATTACCTCAAGAGGATAGCGATCATGACAGTTTATTTTCTTTTTTATGTGTGCAAATGTCTGGTAATTGTGGAGATTAGGTTCACTTGATGAAGTAAAGAAATGAAAATATTAGGTGTATGAAGAGTAAATGGCATATGTTGGTTTTGATTTGTGAAGCATGCTTCGTTGGGAGCACACTCTTCTGTCTGGTAAATTTGTCAGACTTGGTGCTGGAGCTAATTTTTCTAAAGCATAATGATTTATGATTATGTTCTTATAATTCATAATTTTCTTTATTTGCTTTATG